AGTACATATTTTGTTATTGTTATATCATGCATCCTAAGATTTAAAAAACAAAAAAAAAATAGTAAATGAAGTGTTGCCAACAAAAATCAAACTTAAATATGAAGTAACTTATTATTGTATACTTATGTTGAATAATAATAAATAGTAATGGTTTCATCAATTCTAAGTGTTAATAACTTAGATAAGATAAAAATGTGTCAAATTTAAAGGATTTGCAAGTTTTATATATATATATATATATATATATATATATATATATATATATATTATACAAGTTATCATTACAATCAATTACATTAACACAATTTAAATGTATGTTAGAACCTTCTAACTATTGATTTTTTAAATATAATTGTAAGATAAGAAATCTTTGAAAGAAATAAATAAAATATGACGACTCAAAAGACGTTGGGGTGATTGGAGCAGTTTATCGCTCCAAACACGTTTGAAATTATTTTTGGATAAATTATAGTTAAATTATTAAACTTAAATACATAAGGCAAACAACTCAAAATTAAAAAATTTAATAAAATCAATTGATTAAAATGATTGTCAACAATTATGTAGTGTGATAACGCATTTGTTACCTTTTTAAATGGGTAGTCACAAGATAAAATCTCGTGGTAAAGGCATTGATTCTTTATGTTGAAAAAAACATGTTATATGTTAATATGTTTAAAAAAAAAATGTTTTCATTCTATGTTTTTTATTATTTGTTTTATGTTTAAAAAACTTATTTACTAACACTCATTTTTTCAAATTTACCTTTTTAGGCTAACGTTATAAAATTAACACAAAATTATTTTCGAGTGCTTTTAAAACCTTATATTTAAAATATTTTTTGATATTTATGATTTAAATTGAATAAATATAATTTTTATTTAGTCAAATATATGTAAGATTTTTACATTTAATTTACGAACCAAATTCATATCCATATATAACATAACTAAAATCATATCCAAACCAATAAGCTATTAAGTTAACCTAAAATTTAGTTTATATAATATTAATATTTTTTTGAGATAATACTTAAAATATTTTTGGATATATTCATTTGAATGACTTGTGTACATATAATTTTTACTGATATAACATAATTGCAAAATATCCGAACCAATAATTTATTGAGTTCAATCAAAATATAAAACTTGGAGTAGATTTCAAGTTTTAATTTTGATAATTTTGAATAATGTATAACTTTAAGCCTAAACAATTTATATAAGTAAACGAATAGAAACGATAAAATATCGTGATAAGAAAAAAATATGATAATGAATGTAATGATAGTAATAAATGCATATGTAAGTAGATAATAGTAAGAATGTGGTTATAGTCATATAGTGATATATAGAGGTGTGCAAATTTTGGATAATTTTCGGTTAACCGACCGAACCGACAAAGATTGGTTAACCGTTTTCAAACCGAATTTTTTCGCTTCGCTTCGGTTAATGGTTAAAGGAATTTTAAAACTTCGGTTAACGGTTAATTCGGTTCAAAAGGTCAGTTAACCGAAGTTTTTTTAATATATATAAAAATAATAATATAAATATAAATACTAATTTGAAGTTATGGATGTTTGGAGTTTATAATTCATGTTTTTATATTTTGTTATGAATTTATTATGATATGTATTTTATTTTAATTGGATTTATTAGTTTATGTGTTATTTTTAGAATTTTAAATTTTAGCTTTAAAAAGTTCGGTTAATCGGTTAACCGACCGATTAACCGAAAAAAATTTCGGTTCGGTGAATTCGGTAGAGCAAATTTCGGTTCGGTTAACGGTTAAAGAAAAAAAAAACTTCGGTTAATTCGGTTCGGTTAACCGATTGAACACCCCTACTGATATATAGCCAAATATATGATAGATGATTATGTTTTTCATTTAGAAAAACAGCTATTAAAAGTTATACAGTTTTATAGAAAACTAAAAAATATTTTCAGTTTTTGAAATAGAAAAATGTGCTAGTAAATAGATTTTATTTTTTATTTTTATTTTTGATAAAAAAAAATGAGGGGGTTACCCAACAAAACGCTAATCTTGCCCATTACCATTGGAACTATCCATGGGTAGCCTTATGGGGAAATTTGCCCCAATCCGATCTTGTTGGACAAGTTCCCGGAGCTCCGAGGGCACTTCGTCTAAGATGCGTAGGTCGTTGTTGTGATCCAGGGCTTGCGTTGCCAATCGGTCAGCAACCCTGTTTTGCTCCCTGTAGACATGTTTGAATTCTATTGCATCCATGCCTCCAGCTTCTCTCATGCAGCTGCGAATGATATTTGCATTGTGGCAGCTGCCGTCGACCCCCCGTCGCACGTTCATTATGATGATCTTCGAATTGCACTGCACCAAGAGCTTAATGACGCCATAGCCCTTCGCCACTCGAACTCCTTGCAAAATGGCCCAGGCCTCTGCCTCTTTAATCAAGCACCGCCCTATGTTGTATGTAAAGCCCCTACACCAATCCTCGTTCGAGTCTCGTAGAACACCACCACATCTAGCTATCCCACTCCTCTTACAGTAGCCATCTACATTCATCTTCCACCATCCTCTAGTCAGTCTCTTCCATCCCACTTGGATAGTCGCCTACCGCGCAGTGGCCATCGCCGAACTCCTTCTCTTCTCAAAAGCCGCCTTCACCTCTTTGTCGTAGCCATCAAGCCAGAGTATCTTTCGTGCTTCCACCATAGATCGGGAGTTGAACACCTCGTCATTCCTCCAGCGCCAAAGCCACTAAAGGCGAATGCTAAACTGTTCCGGCCACCCTTCTGCAAAGCCCAACTTCGCGTCACCTCTCAGGTTCGCAGATAACCATTCTTTCCGTCCCATGCGTCATATGTTCTCTCTTGTTCGCCAGTGCAATGCCGAGGTCCAGATCGCCGTCGCAACTGGACATCGTCTAAACAGATGATCAAGATCCTCCACCTGGCCTGCGCAACGAAAACAAAAAACGTAACATTAGTCGCGATATTCCGCCTAACCCTTTCGAAATTTGTGAGGATTCTCTCATGTTTAACTAGCCACATGAACATGCCAATCATCTCCGGAACATGAAGCTTCCATATGGCGTTCCACTCATTATCCGTTGATTCGGCCATGTCATCGACATCCATCTCGTAAGCAGTCTTGATCGAGAAGTTTCTGTTAACTTCCAGCCCCCAGTCGAAGCTGTCCTCCACACCTTCAGCTAGAACGAAACTCGCCAACCTCGCCTTGGTATCCTGTGCCAACGTATGCCCCAGCTTCTCCCACCTCGAACCTCGCTCCTTGTCCCAATAGTCGACCACATTTGCGTACAGGTCAGGGAGGCTGAGCAGAGTTAGAAGCTGTTCAAACAAGGGTCGAGGCGTGATCGATGCATCCATCCAAAACCTCGTGCTTCTACCATTTTGAACAGCTCGCGTTAGACCCCTATCCAGCGTTGTCATCGCGGTGTAAATGCCTCGCCAAGCATTTGATATTTTGTGGCGGCTTCCCATAGACTGGACGCCACCACTCCCGTATTTCGTCATCAGCGTTATCGCCCACAGACTAGACGCTTCAGCCCTAAGACGTCATCCCAACTTCATCATATAAGTTGTGTTCATCTCCTGCAATCGTCTAATGCCCAGTCCACAATGCGTCTTTGCTGTTGTAACCTTGCTACAATTGATGAGACTCATTTTGCAACCCGTGTCACGCCATTGCCACCCATATAAATTTCCTCATTATTTTCTCGAGTTATGCGCAGATTCCTTTTGGCAGGGAAACCGTTTGCATTGTGTATACATGAATGACATTTAGGACTGATTTAGCCAGCACCACCCGTCCTGCCATGGATAACGTTTTAGTTTTCCAACCCTCTAAACGTGCGGAGACTCTATCGAGGAGGTCTGACTACGTATTGCAGGTCACTCGCCCATGGAGGGACGGTACTCCCAAGTACTTTCCCAAATCTTTCGTCCTGGCAGTGCCTAACCTAGTTGCAATACCCTCAACAAGACCTTGGTCCGTGTTCTTGGAAAAGTGCACCTGCGATTTGTTCAAACTGATCTTCTGACCCGATGCCATACAGAACCGGTCCAAACACTCCTTAATAACGTCCACCTGCTCAATCGAAGCCTCTGTGAAAAGAACCATGTCATCTGCAAAACAAAGATGAGTTAGAACCGGTCCCGTAGGGGCTAATTTGATACCTTTCAAATTTTGGTTTCTAACTTCTGAAATAATCAACTGACTGAGACAGTCCATACAGAGCACAAAGATAGTCGGGGACATTGTGTCCCATTGCTTAATGCCCCGCTTCGGACTAAAGGGCTCCAGCCGCTCTCCATTCCAGATAATGGAAAGTCGGGAGGTACGGACGCAAGCCATGATAACCGTCCTCCAAGCTTCATTAAAACCCGCCAACTCTAGGGTGTCCTGAATGAAATCCCAGGATAGGCAGTCATATGCTTTCTCGAGATCCAAATTGATAGCCATAAGACCTTCGCCCCTCATATCTCCCGCATGGTGTGCATAACTTCTTGGAAATATGCACATTATTTGATATTTGCCTGCCCGGGACAAAGGAGCTCTGGAAAGGTCCCACGATTTCGGGGAGAATAAGCTTCAATATGTTGGTTACCGTCTTTGTGATGATCTTGTAACTTACGTTGTATAGACTTATAGGTCAAAATTGCTTGACTGTCTCCGGGATCCTGACTTTGGGGATAAGGGCAATAAGGGTGTCGTTTATGCCTTCCGGTAAATTACCCATTTCAAACGCATCTTTGACCAAATTATAGACACTATCCCCGGTGACCTCCCACGTACGCTGATAGAAGGCTGCATGGAAGCCGTCCGGGCTCGGTGCTTTGAACGGCTTCATAATTTTCCAAAAAATGGGAAAAAAAAAAAAAAAAAAACTAGTTACTAAACGGGTTTATAGTCTTGCAGCCCATTCATTATTCATAAGCGCAAGGCCCAGTCCGGTCCATTACCAAATACAGTACTAGAAAGCCACCGTGTCAGAGTAAAATGCGCAATCGTATACCTCTGTAGTCAAATTAGAAGAAGTATTCCTTCTCTCTCTCTATCTCGGGACCAAAATCAACGAGCCCTAATCGCGAAATCTCTACAGCTCCATCTCTAATTCCATCCAATTGAACTTCGTTGTTGGCGCGATTCTTAGCCGGTATCTGCCATGTCGACGGTGCCTTCAACATCCGCAGCTGCCTCTTCTTCTTCGTCGCAGTACACGTACTCCAATGGCACCTACTTTCCGACTCCTTTTCATCTTCAACAGCAGCCGTCGCAACCCTACATCGGCGCTGCCCCTCCGCCGGCTCAGCTCCCTGCTCCTCCCGCTGTTCCTACCGTCTATCCACCTCCGGCCCCTCTTCCTGGCGTATATTCTTTGCCTCAGTACCAACAAGTAAGATTTTTTATCACCTGGAAAAAAAGTAAAAGAGAAATGTGATTTTGATTAGGTATATGGATATATGCAGCTGCAATTATACATTCAGGCATCTTTGCGTGTATACATGTATATATGTATTTGTGCGTGCATGCATTTAGATATACTGATTAGTGAGTAACATATAGTTTAATTTCATTTTCCATAGGAAACTAGTCCATATTTCCATATTGGGTATGTGTGACCTGTTTGTGATGTTTGTAGTCTGCATTGACAGGCGCAGCAGTTGTTTCAAAGGGATGCCCAAACAATTACTCCAGAAGCACTTGAGAATGTGAAAGCTGCACTTGCAAGCAGTGATATTGAGCACAAAGTTGAGGCTAAGAAGAAAGCCCTGCCTCGTAAAGCAGCAGGGCAAAGTTGGGAGGACCCCACTCTTGCTGATTGGCCAGAAAGTATGTTTTGTTTTCCCCTGTATATATTCTCAGTTGATTATTCACATGAGGGTTTGGTTTTGGTGATGTTGCTTTAGATTAGCATTGATTGATATTAAAGGTGTTGGAAGGATTTTTCACCACATTGTTTAATTTAGAATCTTTTGCGTAAGGTACACACTTATTTTGATACTTGAACTGCTTCTTAAGGAAGTCCAAATCTCGGTCTCTTCATGTTTGTATATTATTATTATTATTATTCTTATTATTATTCTTATTATTCTTATTAGTAGTAGTAGTATTATTATTTTATTTTATCTTCGCAATAATATTTGGAGGGATAAATATATTATGATCACAGTGGTGTTGGCATTTTGCAGATGATTATCGTCTGTTTTGTGGTGATCTTGGAAATGAGGTGAATGATGATGTTTTATCGAAAGCATTTTCAAGATTCCCTACTTTTAACATGGCTAGGGTGAGTTCTCATGGAAGTCATTTCCGCTCTTCTCTGTATCTATGATGTTTTTGATTGCTACATGTGAGCATTTGGATGTAATCTGGATGTGTCTGTTTGAAGTATTTGGAGCCCTCAAATGTCTCATATGCATTAAGAAAGAAATCTCTTTGGTCTTAATTGCATTGAAGCTTGTAAAGCTGAAGCGAATTATTGCTGGAGAAGTTTCTATCCATGAATTAAATTTAGCACTTTTTAGTTTCTTGCAATTTAATTCATGCGCTTTTTATTGTGATCTAATTTAAATGGTATCCACAAATGGTTTTGTGCCTGTTTGGAACTTGGAAGAATGCAACTATGTGATGTTTCTACATTCCATATGGCTTGTTGGTTTATGTTCTTGTCAATCTATTATCTTTAACTCTGCTATAATTTTGTATCTAGATGCTGGGTTGAGTTTGCTCTTGCTTTCTAACACACATCACCCACCCAAAAAAAAAAGTAAAAAAGAGAGAGATGTCCTGGCATTAGTGTTGGAGTATCTGCTTGTTTGCACTTTGTTGTAGTAATAGCTAACTGTTTGTGCAATATCGTCATTGCAGGTTGTGCGAGACAAGCGGACTGGTAAGACTAAAGGCTATGGATTTGTAAGTTTCTCAAACCCTTTGGACCTTGCTGCCGCCCTTAAAGAAATGAACGGTACGTAATAATTGTACATCCACAGATTTGGATCTCTTTTGCGTTTCTGATAGGGCCTTAATCACTGTCTTAAACTGTGAAAGACCCATGCTGTCTCTGAAAGGTGTGTGGTGTAAGAGATCAATTAAATTCAGGAGAGTATGTGCTTAGTATATCTTGGTTCATTTGTTATGACATACACCATTATAATTTCAGGTAAATATGTTGGAAATCGACCAATTAAACTCCGGAAGAGCAAGTGGCAAGACAGGATTGATGTTGATGCTTTGGACAGACAAAAGGTAAGAGGCCGTTTGTCAACATTTTCTTCTCTTCTTTTTTTCCCTTCTCCCGCACCCGACACACTGCCTAAGTACCTAACCACTCCCACATACAACCAACCCTAACTCCCTACCCAACCCTGACATGTTTTGGTGAATCTGGATTCTGATGGCATGCAATCTTTTGACAGAACCACTCTCAGAAGAAGGGGAAAATGCCAAGGAAGAGTTTTTTGCACAAGTGAGCACTATTATGCAGTCGAGCAACTGATGGTAAGAAAGCCATTGGACGTTTGTCTTGTTTTCATTCCTTACCATGGATAAATGACTCCCACTTACCGGGGTGTAGACACTTTCAATTCATACTTATTCATTCATTTAGGACCGGGTAGAGAAGTTCCAGATGTAAGATCCACTTGTGGGCATACATCCTTTATGCAAGGATTACCTGTGACTCATGAAGTTGGTGTAACACATGTCCTTGTGAGAAGTATCTGCTCAAAAATTTGTAGCATAATTCATGTATGGGATGATAAGTATAAGGCTAACATTCTACTGTTGACAAACATCATCTGCATGTATGTTTTGGATTCAAGTTTGTAGTCATGTTAATTGGATGACTTGAGAAAATTAATTTAACATGTTTTAAAATGTTGCAGCTGTTTTACCCAAATTAGTGAATTACTTTGTGAATGCTATAAAATAGCTCTGGTCATTTATGCAGCTCGTAATCCTATATGCCTGCTGTCTGGATTTACTTATTTATTTATTGGGTAATATGCTTTCAAGTTTATTTTAGACAAAACTTAAGATCAATAGTTATATCATGAACCAAGAATCTGCATGGTGGACTCTGTTCAAATTATATGCTTAGAGTTAACATATTATGTACTTGTTGCATTTAGGCTGTGTTTGGAAATTATAAAAATGACTTCTGAAAAATATTTTTTTGGAAAATGAGTCACTTCAGAAAATATTTTATTTTTCCGTGTTTGGTTGCTTTCTAGTAAGGGGAAGAAGGTGGTGGTGAGAGGAGGGAGAAGGATGGGGATGGACCCTCGGCGGTGGTGGGGATGGGAAAGGCGATGATTGAGGAGGGCGGAGGAGGATGGTCGCCAGAGCGGTTGTTCGCTGGAAGGGGGAGGTAGAGTGGAGACAAAAAATGGCTTCTCGAAAAAAAAAAAAAAAGAGAAGTCATTTTCCGGAAAAGCACGCTGGAAGGGGGAGGTAGAGTGGAGACAAAAAATGGCTTCTCGAAAAAAAAAAAAAAAAGAGAAGTCATTTTCCGGAAAAGCATGTATATGTACCATTGATCAGAGTTTCATTTTTTGTTGACTTTAAACTTTTCCTTCTTGCCAAACATTAGAAACCTAGCAAATTATTTACAAAAATCATTTCTCTGGTTTCTAAACACACTCTTAACTTATTATGTGCATGCAATTAATCATGGATTCATGGGTATATAATCTAGACTAGGGTTCATAAAACTCGTGGTGGATCATGTGGGCCCTAGTCCACAATATAATTTGCTTAGTTTGATGTAGTATGTGCTTGTTGTTTGGTTTCCAATAGAATTTTGCTGTATGGATTTGTTTAATTTCAATTTTTGCCAACGTTTTACAGGCATTTTGTCCTCTTTGATAACGGTCGAACTCAATGTTTAGTTATTTTATCCAATTGCTATATTAAAAGAAGGGAATATTGCAGCCCCACGGGTTTCCTTCTTTTAGGTTTCATGCTTTGGAGAAATGAACTATAGATTTAAATCCGCAGCAAAGTCAAAATATAATTTTAATTCGTCGTAATCTTGACGAGTTTTAATGACGTGTTCATCGTTGGTAACTTGTGCATAGCATTAAGCCTGAATGGAATATTTTCCTTTTAAGATTTACTTATATTTTAAAATAGTTCTACTACATGGACTCTCGAATTTTTATTCTCTAAATTTTACTCCTTCATGTGATAAGTTACTTTTTTCATGTGGATCCCAATACAAGTATCTGGGTGTGTGAGTAAAAGTTGGAGTAGAAAATGGAAGTATATATAGGCCCTGTTTGGTAAAAAATTGGCCTATAGGCCAATTTTGGCTTATTTGACCACTATTAATTGTTTGATTTAGTTAAAATATCAATATAAATGTTTGGTTAATTAGCTTTTTGTAACTCCAAAATGCTAAAATTCAAAATGCTACTCTAAGCAACTTTTTCAATTAGCTTTTTGAGAAAAGAAATTATACCGAACAACTATCAGCTAACAGCTAATTTACCAAACATTTTTCTACAATCAGCTAATGTTATTAACTATTTATACTCTCTACTTAACCAATCAGCTAACAACTAACAGCTATCAGTTAACAGCCATTTTACCAAACAGGGCCATAATATTTTTCATTTTAAAATACTTCTTAACAGTCAAATATGGTTGTGATTCCGGAAGAATTGATGGTTCAAAGTTCATCATTAAAAGAATCATAACTCGAATTGTTAATATACAATTCTAGACATTTCATGAATTGGTGATTTTAATTTATGAATTATTGATTAATTGAGATTTTTTTAATTTTTATTTTTAAATATAACTAATTAGAATTTTAATTTTAAATAAAAGATTGAAATATAAATTAAATGAGCATATGAAATATAAACTTAGCCCATTAATAATCCAATGAAAACCTCATGGTCTTACCCATTGAAGACTTGGTTAAGAGATTCGTGTAAAAATAAAAATAGTTTAACATATAAATATATTTTAGAATGACAAGTGCCTAACAATAACTTTATTGATCAAATGAATTTACCTCTTCCGTGATCTAACCAAATCATATCACATCATTTAAAACATGTATTTATTGTTCAAATTACAAATTTGGCTGATAGATCATATCACCTAATAGTTCAACCTGCATCCATCAATAGGGATTCTATTGTTGATTTAGTGTACAAATAATCTTCCCAACCCCCAACCCAATATGGGAGTTAATTTGATATTGCACCCAACTATTGATATCAATACAATAGCATTGTTTTTTAGTTGATTTAGTGTGCAAATATTGAGTGTTTGCCGTTTGGTACCCACAAAGAACCACATTTACAAGATGGTGAAACTTTTACACTATAACTGACATAGTTTGATTTTGCGTTATTGGGTACAATCTTGAATTTTCCACCTCAAAACCAAGTTGATTATATGTGAGGATAATTATTCAATCTTGAAACACATTAATCTCTATCTTTAAAGATTTAATCGTTTATTATCGTATTAAGTCACTGATATAATTTTTAAAAACGACAACATAATTAATGTAATTTACGGTACAACCATTCATTATCAAACATCTCATAGACTAAAAAGTACATAATAACGTATAGATGATATGCTCAATTCCGTCTCTAAAAATATTTATTTTTTTTAATCATTACGTTTTGATTTATGGAAAAGTCCGCCACAACTATTTGAAAATACGCTATGGATGAAGCTCGCATTGTATGTCTAACTAACCTATGTTTGCTATAGCAAATTGGCTTAAAGCAAGAAAGCCAACAAATTCAATATACAACTATTACATAAAGCCGAATTTAAACTATTATGATTATCGATCTAATATATACTTTCATAAACTCTTACAAAATTTATAAAAATTTAGAACGACTCTATAAAAGTAAATCAAATTTATTAAAATATATCATTTTAATTTTTTTTATACTACTGCACAAGAAATCAATGTCTCCACTAGAATTCAAACTTGTGACTTTCTATTTGAGAGAGCTACAAAAATTTACAAGCTACTTGACATTATTTTAAAAATTTACAAGTCATTGAATACACCCCAAATTAATTTATTTGAATAACATATGAAATATAAACTTAGCCCATTGATAATCCAATGAAAACCTCATGGTCTTATCCATTGTGGACTTAGTTAGGAGATTCATGTAAAAATAAAAATAGTTTAACATATAAATGTTTTTTAGAATGACAAGTGTCTAACAATAACTCTATTGACCAAATAAATTTACCACTTCTGTGATCTAACCAAATCATATCACATCATTTAAAACATGTATTTATTGTTCAAATTATAAAATTGGCTGATAGATCATAGCACCTAATAGTTCAACCTGCATCCATCAATAGGGGTTCTATTGTTGATTTAGTGTACAAATAATCTTCCCAACCCCCAACCTAAGTATGGGAGTTCATTTGATATTGCACCCAACTATTGATATCAATACAATAGCATTGTTTTTTAGTTGATTTAGTGTACAAATATTACGGAGTGTTTGTCATTTGGTACCCACAAAGAACCACATTTATAAGATGGTGAAACTTTTACACTATAACTGACATAGTTTGATTTTACGTTATTGGATGCAATCTTGAATTTTCCACCTCAAAACCAAGTTGATTATGTGAGGATAATTATTCAATCTTGAAACACATTAATCTCTATCTTTAAAGATTTAATCATTTATTATCGTATTAAGTCACTGATATAATTTTTAAAAACGACAACATAATTAATGTAATTTACGGTACAAACATCTCATAGACTAAAAAGTACATAATAACGTATAGATGATATGCTCAATTCCGTCTCTAAAAATATTTACTTTTTTTTTTAATCATTAAGTTTTGGTTTATGGGAAAGTCCGCCACAACTATTTGAAAGAACGCTATGGATGAAGCTCGCATTGTATGTCTAACTAACCTATGTTTGCTATAGCAAATTGGCTTAAAGCAAGAAAGCCAACAAATTTAATATACAACTATTACATAAAGCCGAATTTAAAATATTATGATTATCGATCTAATATATACTTTCATAAACTCTTACAAAATTTATAAAAATTTAGAACGACTCTATAAAAGTAAATACAAATTTATTAAAATATATTATTTTAATTTTTTTTATACTACTGCACAAGAAATCAATGTCTTCACTAGAATTCAAACTTGTGACTTTCTATTTGAGAGAGCTACAAAAATTTACAAGTTACTTTGACATTATTTTAAAAATTTACAAGTCATTGAATACACCCGAAATTAATTTATTTATACAATGTAAGGAGGTCAAATATCTAAGTTGAACTAATCACAAGATTTGGAGGAATTAATAAAACAATGATATTAACCAAACAACCCCTGGTTTTGGATATTGGCTTTAATTGCTTCCGTCTGAATTGCTTCGTCTCTGTGGACTAACATACTCTTATCAAGCGTCACCTATATTATACGGAAGTAATTTCACTTTTTTCTCCTTTATGTTTCTCTCTTCATCTTCTTCATAGGCACTTGGCTCCTTCTCATCCTCCCCCCTCCTGCTTTTCGCCAAGCTTTTCTCTGGAAATTCTCATCCTCCGGTCTTCGAATATTGAATTTTCACTCGTTCATTTCTTCCTAGGGTTTTTCATCCTCTCGATTCATCCGATTCGGAAGATCTGCTCGGATTTGCACTTTTCGTATCCAATTCGAGGAGTTTGGCCGGAAATGAACGGCGTCGTTTGAATTGGAGCTGCGGTGGTGTGAACAGCGCTGTTTCGGAGCTTGTTTTAGGGTTTGTTGGATGATACAGGAACAACGCAAAGATCTGAGGATTTGCTGCGACT